TTTGTAAATCAAGTTCATCATATTTATTTTTCAACGATGGTATTAAAATGTTCATCTTACATTAACACTTTAAGTATTCACTTTTAATTTTATAATTCAATATTTATTTATTTCAGATAATTTATTAATGTTAGAAACAAACAATTTGACGTTGTCATATTTTAATCGAACATTTTCTATAATTAAAAATGCTATTTATGAATCAGATATTATCATGTTGAATCATTGGGATAAATATACACGACCAGATCCTATTTATAATTATTTAATTGGGATATTTGTTGCATTGATTGGTATTGTTGGAACAATCACAAACTTACTAGTGATATTTGTTTTTCTAACGTAAGTTACATTGATTACATTTGAAATATATATCTCAATGATATTGCTTGAAAATCTGGTATATGGAAAAACATGTGTACAGTATTTTAGAGTTCAGTTGCCTTTCTTTCACTTCATTTCATTACAAACCAAGTGACAAAAACTACTTAATTTAGCAGAGTTATGATATGCTAACGACTTTAAATTATCAGTTTTTGTTTATGCACTGTCAAGCATTTTTTCATACCGTGATGAATAGAATTTCATTTCCACTTCAAGAATTATTCGCACAGATTCTAATCAAAATATAGAAACATTAACAGTAGGAAATATTCATAAAACTGACCGACTATTTCTTATAAATAGCTATATACTAGCTTGCTGAATATATATTCCAATCATTACCAATATCTGGAGATATCTCTTTCGTCATGAACTGACATCATTGTGACAATATCTTAAAATTTCAGTGTTGAACAATTATTTTGTACAAGGTTAATATTACTCAATAAATAGTTCACGGTAATTACTGTATCTGAGATAGAATCCATACGCTTAAGGAAACTATTTTCAAGTTGGATGTTCAAAGTTAGAGTGAGATTTTTATGTTAGATTTTTGCTTCGATTATTATTACCAAAAAAGATTACCTAGAGTAAATTACTATTATAAAATAATAGCTTTCTGTGGATGTTTGCCTCTACTTGCTTACATATATTATTCGTTTTATGATAAAAATCGTCATAATAATGAAAATAATGGCCTGAAAACTATTTTCACTTATTACTGACCAATATGTTTATCTTTGAAAGTAGATTCCCTAGATATTATTTAGAAGTCGTGAATTGTGGATTTCAGTCATGCTACATGTGAACCGCCTACTTATCGATTGCTTTGATAGATCCAATTCCAACTAGATCACATGTCTCAATGTTATATGATACGTCAGATATACTAGTGTGGGCATGCTAGTGTAAGTACATTATTCAAGGTCAAAGTCCGCTTGTTCTTATTTGGGTCAGTAAAGAAATGTATGTTCATTACCATGAATTATGTACCGTTAAATGCGATCTTTGGAAAAAAATTTCTCATGGATTTTTATTCTTTTCATACTTTTAAAAACCGAATAAGTCAAGAGCTGAGCAGCATGTGACTGCGGTTACACTGAACTGTGAGTTCGATACATATATCAGATAATGTTGTAGCTGTGTTACAAATTGCTTGAAACCAGAGATATACCGGCTACCAAGGTTCATTTCCATAATCTAAGGGTATGGTTGTTACAACATTGCCTACAAGTCCTTAAGGACGAAATAACAATAAATGCCTTTGAGTTTTCGATTGTTCATCGATGCATGACCATTGGTGGTAAAAAAAATACCCTCAACTGCAGTTAATCTGTACAAATCCAACAATGTCACTGGAGCAGGCTATCATTAACAGTTTCCTTGAAATCATGAAGTGATCAATGTTATACAAGCTTTAGAAACCTGAAGGAATTAAAAAGCCATCTCACGCTAATATGGAACTCGTCAGGCGTGCACATTCACAACCCGATGAGCGGGAATCAAACCCAGGACCTTGACCTCTTGACCGCTGATGTTGATTTAGAAATTAAACGAACCCATTTTTTTTTGGGGTTAACTGCCTCATACTCGATACGTTTGAATTCAAATGATCTCTGCTTCTAACCAGAACTCCGAGAATTCCCCTATGAAGCTAGTCACTTGTAAGCAAATGATAAATGTCAGTATAGGATTGTTAAGATTGAGCAATATCATGGATTGATTGAAGTTAGACAGTAACACCCTTGGATAACCGGTTCAGTGGTGAAGAGGTACATTTTTGATTCTGAAAATAAGCGTTCTCCAACGTCTTCCGTCTTCTTATTTTTGAACGGAGGGGTCTAACGTTCGGGTGTCATTAGTACAGTGGTTTGGCGTTACATCAAGTACAAAACATAAAAGTGGCGACGGGAAAAAAACCATATCCACAAGACCGATGGTTCTGAGTTCGATTCCTGGTTGCAGGGTTGTGAATGCGCACTGTTGATGACTAGCATACTAGAGTGCTGCCAGGTTTCTAATTGTGGTATAACACTGATAACTTCATTACATTAACGAAATTAAACAATCTTCACAATTCTATGGCAGTCTTAAGGGATTGATGATTAGTTGGAAGCCTGTTGAAAACTAAATTCTATATCTTGATACAGTGATATCTTTAGTGTAAATTAATGTACGCCTATATAAGTGAAAATTTATCCGGAATGAAAAGTTATCTGGACATAATGTGATTTAAGAGAAAGTAATAATATTAATTTACAGTTATCATTGAAATATTATTCTGGAACTATAGAATTGTGATAACTGTAATGCTTACGTTGATTTATTAGTTTTTACAATTAAAAATATTAATGTGTTAATAACTATATATACTTAGGGCAATGAACATAGGTGTTATTTAAAAAGTAGCTAATTTTCACTTCCTTTATGAATAACTCAGGTGATTATGCAAAAATTTTTCAAGTGATTGATGCGTTCAAACAGTGATAATTAAATTATCGAGGGGACAAATAATTCGAAAAACACAATTATCGTTTATTAAATTTGTAGGTCACTCAGTTTGTAGCTAAGCTGATCAATAAATACATAATTTAAATGAAGGAAGCAGTTGAGAACAAGGGAAAACAAAAAGCCCCTTTGACATATACTCAAGACATTAAGAATATGGCAACACTTTTAGATCACAGTTATTGGTGTGTGAGCGAAAAGCAACTGTCAAAAGGTCAAATGGAAAACGAGCTGGTGAAAAAGGTGGCCCAATAATGAAGGTGATCACCAAAAATGATTCATATCACCAAAAGTGAGAAGTGAAAGAGGGAACATCACTTCTAGGAGCATATAATCTGTTCGATTTACTTTCTATCCCTTTAACTCTACAACTACTCAAAATTGTGTTTCTCTAAACAATCAGTTGAGGTCTACTTTCAACAAATACAATGATTTTTCGAATTTTGTAACAAATTGTTATCCTATTCATGTCATATCGTACGTCTATTTCGAATAGTTAGGCGAAAATCATTTTAGAGGAATGTTTGTGTGTGTTTGATATGCAACATGATAAGTGTTTGTTAGATGATAAGTTGACGGACTTCAATTGAATGTTTAGAGAAACACAAATTTGAGTAGTCGTAGACGTAAAGGGATAGAAAGTAAATCGAACAGATTACATACTCCTAGAAGTTATGTTCCCTCTTTCACTTCTCACTTTTGGTGATCAGCTTCATTATTGGGCCACCTTTCTCACCAGCTCGTTTTCCATTTGACCTTTTGATAGTTGCTTTTTTATATGGATTTCTATGGTTGGGTTTTTCCATTTTCGATTTATTTTCATAACGGTTATTTGAGTCACTTTGACCATTTAATACTAGTATTATTATCTGTGACATAATCATTTTCTAATACAATGAATTTACCGATAGAAAAGCTGTTTACATGTCTAAGGAGTTTCAAGTTACAATTATCTCATTCAAATATCCGTTTGTTTCAAAACACATATAACCTACACTAAAATCTACCTCGTAAATCAAATGATTTCATTGTCCAACGCTACTTTTTAATTTTTTGGGTATGGAACTCTAATTTTGAGAATGTTAAAACGGCTTCATACCTAGTAAAGTTACCCACCTAATGCAATGGAAGATGGTCGTGTATTGTTGTTGATTGGTTGAAGGTAGGCATCAAGACCATAAGATATCAATGGTTTAGCTGTCAAGCGTTCATGCACAACTCCAGAAGTCTTCAGTTCAATTCCTGTGTGAGAGTTTGTGGATGAACACTGCTGAGAAGTCCCATACTGGAGCGAAATACCCATCCAGTGTTTCCAGATTCCAATGATGATCTAGCTTAAATCAATTTGTGATTTCAATGTTGAATAAAATACTATCTCCACAAACCCCCTATACTAATATATAAATAAACTCGAAAGTAATATCACACAACCATACTGTGAAAAAAATTAATATGCTGAAACGATTTTACTTAATGTAATTAATTACGTTAATTATTAGTTAATTGATGGTGAATTATCTGTTGTTACTACACTTTGTTGTTTTCAGACCCAGATCTTGCATTAGTCTACAATGTGCTTTGATCATTAATCTGGCTATTTCTGATTTTGGATTTTCTGCAATAATTGGTTTTCCTTTAAAGACAATTTCCGCTTTCAATCAATACTGGCCATGGGGAGCTCTAGGTATGCTATAAATATGTAGAAAGTGCCGTAAATAGTTATTGTTCTTCCTTAGTCATTTGATGGGTTATACATGTATCTTCGATATTTTGTTTATATATATATATATATATATATATATATATATATATATATATATATATATATGCATTGCTTTGTAATATTGATCATAAATGAGTGATCAATGAAAAGGACATATACAGAGAAAAAGGGAACAACAATATTTATATCGGTCAATACCAGTCCAAACAAATGGGATAACTATATTTGTTCAAACAAATTTGACACAATGAAAGCATCACAGACATTAATGAAGGGCTGAAATCATGAATCAATCATTTATCGATCAAAGTTTACGTACACTTAATAATATTATATAAAGGGAAATATATAGAGTCACAGTAAAAACATTTTATATATGTTGCACCTTAAGCGAAACAGAAAAATATAAATGTCAAACTGAACGAAATTTCACACACGTCATATTGAACACATTTTATACTGGACTGGTTCGAAAATAATAATAATCTCAAAACTGCATACTGAATGAAGTGGGCATCTAATATCCTGACAAACGTTCAGAATCTGATAGAAAAATTTTGTCCTAAATAGCTACATCTTTTACCACTATGATGTTTACGACAAATGTGTTCAGAGATTCACTGATCTAAGCTATTTTTGACTGATAATGACGAAACAGTTGTGAAACTCGATGATTAAATTGAATCTTTTCACAAAATACCTGATTATTAATGAAATAAATATTAAATTTCTTAAAAAACAAAAACGAGAAATCCCCATATGTTAAGTAGGTTGACTACACTTATGACAGAAGTACTTTTATTGTTAAATTTTATTTCCATTCAATTCAGAACAATTCACTATATATATATTAATTTAAAACCTCTGTTAATACCGATATCAAATATAATTGAACCTTTTTGAGGTATATTTTCATTTTCAGCTTGCCAATTGTATGGATTTATAAGTGGTACTTTTGGATTTTTATCTTTAACGACCATTGCTGCTATTTCATTCGATCGATATTTGGTTATAGTTAAAGATTATAAAACTAAAAATTTTTTAGTCATCTGTACTGCTATAGCACTTTTATGGATATGGTCTGCATTATGGACTATTCCTCCATTTTTCGGTTATGGTAAGTTTCATTGACATTGTTGTGACAGATTTAGCTTATTGTATTTCATCCAAGTTCAACAAAGATCATCAGGTTACGTCTTACATATTTTCTTTCATTATAGGATGTAGTGAAGATCGTTGAGTTTGATTGAAATAATGACATGAGAATTTTTAGATTACATGACTTCAATGAGGATTTACCCGAAAATACCATCAGAATAGGTAAAGGTGCTGTGAAATTCATACCTGTTCATCGAAGTTTCTAGAAATAAATGTATCTAATAAAAATTATATTGTCTGTAATTAGTTCTATTTACTCAAAATAATTTGTTGATAAAAACAAATAAATAAAAATCACAGGGAAATACGCGTGATTTTATGCGATACTGTTACTCTTACTACGTGCTGAATAGAAATTAACAATTTCGAAACGAGCTGCTCCGTAACTGCTATTCTGAAATGCATATCACATTGTAAACACTTCAAGGCACATCAACACTGTCGTATATTCAAAATTGGGAGTATAAATACTTAATTAATGAATTATTATTTGAAAATACTACTGTTTGAAAATAATAGCTTTGACACAACCTTGCATTTCAAGATACCGTGTTACGAATCGTATAACTTGTTTTGTTTTTTACATTATTTGTAGTGTAAAAGGGAGTGTTGATAAAAATATTGAAATGATACAATATATGTATTGTTATTTATTTTGTCTGTCTTTAGGACGTTATGTACTTGAAGGATATCAAACCTCATGTACATTCGATTATATCTCAAATGATACGCCTAATTTGTTGTTCAGTTTTGGGATGTATATATTCGGATTTATGTTACCAGTAATGATATGCATATACTGCTACGTGAATCTGCTTAAAATTGTTCGCAACAATGAACGGTTAATATTAGTATCTTTGTCTAATGGTGGAGGATCGAAACAACGCAAACGTGTACGAAGTAAGTAGACTTTGTTATGAAAGTTTTTATCCTAGAAATAGTTTCTGAAATAAATTAGATATGTAAGGTAAATAGGGTTGGATATAGTTAAATCTCATTATTAACAAGTGTAATAGTTAGTTGAAACTGCTTTCCGGGATGCAGTCTATGATTCAGTCAAGTTATTCTTTCTTATCATACAGACATGATGAGTTATGGATTAGAATTTATATTATCTGTTAAATATTTTGGTGCTGTTCTCACTGTTTAAATAATATAAGTCCCAGTAATCAGCAGCTGAAAAAATTGAATTTATTTTGTATGCTTTGAATTCAATCCTAATCAAAAATTAGATCTAAACCCACTGATAATGTAAACCATCATATTATCAGTCGATATGTGTATATCGACAAATCAGTACAATAAATCGTGATAGATTCTGACTGATAATTGGGTAAAGATATATGTCGCTTTCGTATGAATTCATTCATTTAGAATAGCTGACAACCATCTATCATCATCATTTGCAAAACCTACATTAAAAACCAGTCATCAGATTTACCTAATAGAGGACATAATAATATGTTACATTTTTACCAGTGAAAAAGTGACTAGATTAGTTAATATACTAAAAGTACGCAAATCTAAGTCCATTTCATTCATACATTCAAAAACATTATTTTGCCTGGTTAACTAGTGTTGATCTTTACTCAAATATTAACAGTGAGGGAAACGATATTATTCTTTTCTCATATTGTTCTTGTATTCTTCAAAATTTTATTAGCAATTGAAATGTTTTACAAACTTAAGTGATGATTATACATTTAGATTGATACAGGATTAGTATTTTACAAAGTTAAGCAATTTACTGTCTATTGATACATGATTTTTCTCAGTTTATAAGCCTCACAAATAATATTTTTTGCAATCTATTGATAACTTTCCAGTCTTAAAAGATACGAAATTAAATACACATTTTCACGATGCTTATAAATTCATTCGAACATAAATTTTTATCAATAACCAACGTAGGCATAAAATTATTAAACAAACTGTATTTTTCTTACTTTTTTTCAACAATCAGACAGAAAACGTTTGGATGTCGAAGCTACCAGATCAGTTATCCTTTCTCTTTTATTTTACTTGATGTCATGGACACCATACGCTATGGTATGTCTTATATCAATTCTGGGTCGTTCATATTTCTTAACACCGACAATAGCTGAAATGCCTTATTTATTTGCTAAAATGTCAGCTCTTTATAATCCGATTCTATATGCATTCACAAATCAAAAATTCAAGAATGCTTTAGGAATACGAAAAACTAGCAGTATGGTTATGCAAAAACAAAGATTACTATCAAAAGGAGTAATTATGCCACCGGTATGTTCGTTTAGTTAGTTTTTTTACTTCGAGTTAAATGATTAGTGATGGTCTTCTTTGTCAGTTTAAACCTTTATTTTAGGCCATATTGTGTTGATCACTAGTGTTAGTCACATTGCTATCAAAGTTTTCTCCTAACTCCAAAGCTTGAATTTACTAACATTTCATCCACCAGAACTACTCTTCAAAGTTATCGGATAATCCACACAATCTATTAATCAGTCACGGAGTAGTAAACTGTAACATGTAGTTTTTGTGTCAATCAATCGGGTCATTAAATTTCGTGAACCGATATCGTTATCGGCTTTGCCCCGGTTCCAGATGTCAGGAACCAGGATATATAAGTGGTAACACTTTTTACTGTGACATCGGGTGATGTACAGTCACTCAAGGAGGTAAACTAGTATTAACATGAGACCCTGACCTTGGGATTCTTGAATATTTCATCAAATAATCCGAGATGAATACTAGTCACAGACAAAACTCCTAAAATTCTAAAATTAATCTCGCTATTTAGTAAGTATGATGATTTGCTCAAAATTATAATCGGAATTCGGATAATTATTAGATTTTAACGCCACTGATATGCAATAAATTTAATAACCGACTCATTTTGATAGTAGCAATACGATCAACTACTTTCAAAGTTTAAGTAGTATATCCATTTTTGAAACACTTCTAATCACAGGAATTTATAATTCCAAAATCGTTTGTAGTGGTTATCATACCGAGGAATAAAGAAAAAGAATATAAATAAGTTTTTATTTTAGAAGGAAGTACGCCATGTAATACATACGAAGTTATTGCTAGGAAATCAGAAATATGTGCTTTCATAAGAGGTATGTGGATGAAATAATAGACGTCTTCTACAAATCTGAAGATACAAATTAATTACTTAATCAGCTTAACGTTCTTCGCAATCCTGGTAGGCTTTAACGTGAAGAGGAGACGAATAGCCGGCTCTGGTTTTCGGATTTACTTACAAATAGCTGAGAAAATGGTTCAGTTAAACCATACTTCTGCATAAAGTCTACTCAGACAGACAGAATTTTAGTTATTGTAGTTATTGCCTAGATGAATACCAACCGAATTATTAAAAGGCCTATTCAGTAAAATCAACTAATATGTACAGATCATTCCATTAATGGCGAGGTGAAACTTTGAAGAGAATGGATGTCTAAAAACAGCATAAATCGATATAACAGTTACAGTTTATTGACAACTTCTAAGATTGTAGTATCTAAAATGTCCATCTACATAATCCTATTATTCATAAACTGGTCAAATGGCCTTGTATTTAAAAGATGTTCAAATCATCTATACAGACCATGCTTCAAAACGAATTTAAACAGCCCGTAAACGATTGCATCACATCCTTCTGTGTATACCAAAGTACATATTTGTGAACAAACATACAGTAGGAGGAGTAATCGTGATATAAAAGTTAAGGAAGTTGATCTCGTACTGAAGTGGCCGGAAAAAATAAGTACAGTTAGATGAATCAATTAAGTGCAGTTGAAGAGCCCCTATCTTCTTTGGTCGTCAAACTTACAGTTATCACAGGTAATAGGACTGATTTTAAGTTAGCTTTTATATTTTTAATTGAATTTAAAATGGTTCAGATTATCACGTTGTTGATATTTTCATCACTCTTGTTTGGCATATGAGCATCTTATGTGAACTCCCTAGATATAGTTCTTACAGCAACTTTATATAGAATATAAAGAATGCGGCTGGTAATGAAATCTAGGACGCACGTTTCATCCAATATAGGACTCGTTGGTTAGATGTACCTGCATCTCAAAATTTATGTTCACTCCGGGTAAGGGTACATCCAGCTGACGAGTTCAAAATAGGACGAAACGCGTGTCCTAGATATCATTACCAGCCGCACTCTATACAATTTATAGTTTGTATAGAAGTTGTCGAAGCTGGATATTTTTATTTATTGATGCAGTAGTCGTTAAAATGTTCACATTTTCTCCTATTCAAAAACGACTTGTCAGTACATATGTATTTAAGTATTTAGTTTTTCGTGATTGTCTTTAATTTCCGTATATTTTAATTTGCTTAATGTGAGCCTCATTTTTCGCATAAAAATATGTTAGCGAGCAAATGTATGATCATTTTGTCCAAACTGTATCAAGTTAGTACATCAAATAGTTCACATAAACTTCGTCTTACTATTCTCAAAATCTAATTAGTTTGAAAAGACTTGATTTAAGACAGTGTTGTCCTTATAAAAGTATTTAAGTGAATCAAAATACCTGAGTAATCATTCACATTTGTCAAACACCTATAAGAATATCTTTTACTGCAGAATACAAATGACGATAAGGGTTTAGACAGATAATTCAGTGACGAAGAAATCATTTTGTGTCGAAAGGTGTTTTGATTAAACTAATAAGTGACTAACTTGAAAGAAGTATTAAGCATAGTTTAACAAATATGATTATATGAAGGTTTCCATTATTTATTCGTCAACTTAAACACAATAAAATGTGCAAAAGCGACTTCAGGAACTTTTTCTTGTTACTAAATTACATGGTGAATATTATCAACAGAGAAGGTTTTTAAAACACTCAAAACTCTTTGAAATAGTGAATTTCAAGTCAGTAAAGTGAAGCATATGTTTTTTAAATCAACCATTATTCTTAGATCATATTAAAAATTATCATTTAACCGTATCCTAGAACAGTTTGTTTATTTTTATCGGTGATGAACATTTTAATTATCTGCGGCTGAATTGAATGATCGCTGTTACTGAACAATAAAACGGATACCCATCACAAATCTACTTAAAAATCTGCATTTCTTGTTTGTAATTTGAGCTTTTAGTGAGTTTGAATTAATCTGATTTGTGATTGTATCTATAATATTTCAAAATTTATTTTTCAGAGCAGTTAGATCAAATATGAAATTGACTGAGAATTACAGACGTTCACAATTTTAGAAGAATATCTATCAGTTGATAGTATGAGCAATCCAAATTAAAAAAATGAAACTTTTTTAAAAATAGAATGATTATTGGTAATTGCAGTTGTATTTTGTTTACATTCATCATACGGCAATAACTAATATAGTTGGTTGTGTCATGTAGGTTAAAACTTGTTAAGCATTATATATTTTGGTTAGCATGCTCACTGGTACTACTGGGACTGACTGTATTATGCATTCACAATGAAAAATATGAATTTGTGAAACTTACATTTACTAATGTGAGAATTTTTTTCTCAATTTTATTTATTCATATAAAATAGTCAATTTTCGGAATCATTTGGCGGACAATTTGTTTCGTGTTTAGTATGCAACTTTACTAAACCAAAGATTATTTAGAAATTTTAACTGGAATACAAACTGCCGATAGCTAAATAGAGGGAAACTAAAGTAGGTTTGTGGATTACTTCAAGTTATTTGTCTTCATGTTTCAAAAGAGATAATAACTAACCAACTAACTAACTGAATAGGCCATAAACAGAAATGCAAAGGCACTTAATCTTACCAGCTACAGCGATTAATCGTAATAACGAGAATGATACTATTCATTTAATACATGAAAACCCCAACATCTAAGCCTCAAATTCAATTTTTTATACTGAAATAAATTCTCGAATTCCATGGCATATGTCAGACTCGGAATACCCAAATGTTATGGTTAGTCAATAAAACAAAAGTGAATCGCGAGATTGTTCGCGCTTACAACGTTTTTGATAATTTAGATTACACAAAGTGAATAAACATCGGCGTTGCATCTGTTCATTACCGTTTAATTTGTCAATAGGATTAGACAGTCAACTTTTTTCTGATGATGTATATGTTGATGATTTTGCCTAGAAAAGCAATGAAAGCTTCGAAAATCAACCCATTCAATAGAGAGATCGTAACACATTCAAATCCCCCTTCATCATATACAAGACTTGGATAATCAATCTATTCAGTATTAAGTATTCAGACGTTATCCGTTTGCTCATCATACACTTCGATATTTAATATTGTAATGAACATTTCAGTGAAACAGATTTATATTGCGCCAAGTGTGCATATAACATATCAATAAGTATTTTAAGCAAATAAATCAATGAATTAAGCTAATAATTATCTAATTATATAAAGAAAGAACAAAAAACTTTTGAACAATAATCTGAATTCATTTATTGTGCTCATTTCCTTCAACTGTTTACAATCAAAAAACAATTAACTATTTAAACGGTAAATACAGTGTACATACTTTGAGTGAAGAAAGTGACGGTTAAAGTTGGGTTTGACATACAGGTATAGATTGATTAAAGGTAATAATTGTGGAGGAATGTGAAAGTTTGTTTAACAGGTTTTGATATAAAGGTTATGTATAGTCACTGCTAAATAGGGAATTTAATGGAAAGTGTCACTATATATCAACTTACTTGACTATAAGAAAGCATTTGATAGAGTAAGCTAAAGAACTTTTAGAAACCCTCTTTGGTACTAAAAAGTATCTGACATCTTCTTTATTATTCAAAATTATTGCAACAGATCATACTGCAAAGTCGTGCACATAGGATAGCTTTCAATTCAACAACAGAATCTACAAACAAACAAAAGGAACACCAATGGGATCACCAATACAAGGACTAGTCGCCGAAGCTGTAATGCAAAGACTAGAAGAGTCGTTTTTATCAGTGATCAACCACAAGATCTGGATTCGCCATGTAAACGACACATTCGTCATTATTAAAGGGAACGAGCTGTAGAACATCTACAATCGGATCAAGAACATCTTCGATGAAATAAAGTTCACGATGGAAGAAGAATCAAACAACAGCCTATCATTCCTGGATGTAGTAATCGCGAGAACTGACACAAGAAAACTGAAGACTCAAGTATTTTGGAAGCCAACCCACACAAACCTAATTCTAAACTACAGTAGCAACAACCCAAGAACTCACAAAATCAACTGCATACAAACCTTGTTCAAGAGAGCGAAGACACTGCAGCACATATGAAGCAGTAAAAAACGAGGAAAAGCATATTATGTGTATCTTCCAAAAGAACGGCTATCCAGGCAACTTCATTAAAAAACAAACTAAAATAGTCAACGGATTGTAATCAAGCAAAGGAATCAATAAACGGATCATTCTACCATACATAAAAGACATAACGGAACGTACAGCACGGCCACTAAGATTGTTTGAAATAAGTATAGCACACAAACCAACAGAACAGCTTCAATCAATCCTATGTTGACCAAAAGACAAAATGACAAAGGAAGAAAAACCAGTAATCACTTACAAAATAAATTGCTCAGACTATGAAAAACACTACATAGGACAAAGTGGACGGCCTTTTTAGCTTCGTTTGTGTGAACATCAATTACTAGTCAAACACCACGACATTTCTTCGCTTATATGGACAACTATGGACATACTTTCGATTGGAACAGTATGGAAGTACTGGATAGGAGAGGACAATGAACATTAGAGAATTTTTAGAAGCTTGGCACTCAGGTCAGTCAGCAATCAACAAACACGTCGACAGTGACCCAATTTATAAACCAATCAAGAAAATCATAGGGGACATGGGATCAAGAAACAGATCAAAAGGGGGATACAAAAAAACAAAGGTGCAAACAACGACAGATTTAAGGTCAACAGCAACTAATCAAGATCGAGGTTAACAGAACAATATACGGGTCAAACGTGGAGAAATTCGAATACTTTACTTCCATCTGAAGTTTGTGCTGATGATATTGTTCAGAAGAACAATGAAAGCTTCACAACCAAAACATCCAGCTCAGAGAACGAAACTTCATTACAAGTATCCAACTGAGCTATAAATTTTCTCCACCATTTCCACAAGCTGGAAACATGATGGCCAGAATAGAATTGACTGAAGACCTCTGGTGAGTGGCCTACATGGTAAAAGGCAAGAAAAAGTATGCACAAAGAAAATATCTGAAAGTATAATACCAAAGTTTCTATAAACCTTAAAACTGAAATAAAATAAACTGTTTGAATTAAGCTCAGATTGAAAAGGAAAATTATAACTGTTATAGAAATAAAAGCTATAAACGAGGTTACCAATACAAAGCAAGACTAATAAGGGGATCTTTGTGGATGATTAAACTTGGCTTAAATCTTTTTATGGTAATTGCTCAAATGGATGGTAATAAAATCGATGTTCCTGACTTTGAAACATTGATATTATGTTTACCGGTAATCAAATGACGCGTAATTTCCCTGCTAAAATCACATTCTGTGGAATGTACCCAAAGATATGAAGATTTTTTGTCTACATTAAACGAACAGATAAGATAGATTTGCAAAATCTAATAAAATGAAAATAGTCATGAAAAATAAATCTGATGATAAAAGCTTGATGTAAAGATTTAATGTTTATTTCTACAAAAGTGGAGTAAGGCATTTATAAAAGCATAGACTGTAACATCATATGTCAATAAATTTCAAACTAAATTTTGTGTTTTTAAACAGTCATGCAACTAAACTTTCTGTTGAAGATTTTTTTGTTTTTTCATCCAACTCATTCGAATAATGTTTACATAAATTCAAAACAGCATAGGTTGTAGAAGATAATAAATAATTTCATCACTTAAATATTTAACAACTCGGGAATAAATTTATTACAACAAATTTTCCTCTAAAAACCGCCTTTAAAACTTTATTATATTACATTACGGGGTTGTGAAGATTGTTATGGTACACATTTGAAATCATCAATCAATCATTGTTAGACCATCAATAGAAACCTGGAAGCACTGGACGGCAGTTTCGTCCTGGCATGAGACTCATCATCAATACGATAATATGCTACAGTGGTAAGATTTTGTAAACTTCAGAAGGGAGTAGTATGAAAACGATATTTTTCTGCTTACTTGAAAATTCAGAGATAATTGAGATACCAGCCATTTTAATTGGTTTTCAATCAGTGGAATACCAAAAAATATAGTTAGCTAAAATCCAAATTATTTTGTTAACATTATAAATAATTGTAGAATTTGACAGTGTAAAAGTAAGGATTACAAGAAATCAAGTAATACTTAGTAAATGATATCGATAGTCAATCTGGCAACACACACATACTAAAAAAAGGAATCCCATTGCAAAATGAAGCAGATTGAGAAGAGAAAGAAGATGATGATGATGATAATGATGATTGTCTCGTTTAGTATCGTTGAAATTTTATTGAAAAGAAAGTAAATAAACGGAAGTATGATAAGATCAATTTTTCCATAACAAGTTAATGCCATATTTCAATTCTGTGTACAGTGTTAATCAGGTTGACTATCAAACCAATTACCAATTATTTAGAAATTTTAGCGCAAAAGTCTCGTCAACAAAGTTTGCATAATATTTATTCAGCTAAATAAAAAAATATACATATTTAATGTTATTTAAAATGCATTGAAAAGGATATACGTCTCATGAGACAATTTACATGGAACACTGAACTTATTTAGTAAACAAAGAAAGTATCAATTAAAATGTTTGCCTGAAAAAAAAATTCAACAAACTATTTATTTAAATGTGTGCCATGTAAACTTGGTTCATTGAGTTGTTTGGTTTTTTTTTATAGTTCCATGACATTTCAGTTACATCTAATTGAACTAATGACCACGAAAGTTTATGCGAAAATATCTCCCGAAAAACAAACTGGTTTTTAATTAGCTAAAAATGACATTATATATATATATATATATATATATATATATATATATATATATATATATATATTTGCGAAAAACATTGAAAAGTTTGTCTTTTAACTCAAAAGGTAAACTCAAACATTCACATAAAACTGAAGGGATAAAACATTTTGCATGTAAGACAAAGGATATAATTTAATTTGTAGTTATCCTAAAATAAATATACTCTACTAAGCATAAATGTAAACGAAGTTACCTGACGGATTCCGTCAGTATGAAGGTAAAGATGAGTTCAGAAAGTATCATATTCCAGTTATTTTGACTGCAAGAAAGTTAAGAATATAAAATTAATTCAATAACAGTCATTTAGATGATAAAGCAAGTTGAGTTGTTAGTT